TATCTTTGTTTTTAGCAGAAGAGTCCTAAGGTTGTCACACAGAGTTCAATGATTTAAGGTCTTAGAAGTTTCGGGATGCCTAGGTAGTTCCTGCCCCCTGAATGTGCCTTGAGGCCGCCAGCTGTCGTGCTCTGGTTTGGGCTGGGCCAGCGCGGTCGGCAGCCAGTGTCCTTGCACGTGCCGGTGCTGCCGTCAACGCCACCCCAGGAACTGTGAGGCAGACAGACTTATGCTAGAGAATTGGAGAGGGAACAGCTGATGTTAAGGGTCATGGGGAGTGGGGAGGGGGGTAAGGGAGAGCAGCTTTGTGGGAGGGAATCAGAATCTATTTGAAACGCCTCTGATGCCCTGGTGGAGAGACCAGGTAGGCTCTGAGGGAGATGGCGGGGCTGCCAGATGGAACTGAGGTTCACAGGCAGAGGCCCCCCACAGGAGAGTCAGGCCGTAAGAAAGCAGCACTCACAGCAGCGCTGAGTGTGGCCCCGTCACGTTTGTGCACAGTGTAAATGCTTGTGGAGTTGAGGACGATGACCCGTGTAGGGCCAGTTAGGCCGAGAGGAGAGGGTGAGAGAAGGGGAAGAGAGGACGTCACGCTTGCTTGTTCGCGGTGTGCCAGGAGCGGGAGAGCCGGTCCCGTCACCGTGTTCATGCACATTTACCAAACACGGTTAGCCTGGGAGCCAGGCGTTAGACCAGCCCAGGTGTACAGGCAAGGAAGCGGGTACAGAGGGACGGAGCAGGCGGCCCAGAGTGGCACAAGGCGGCGGCGGCTGTGAACCTGGCAGCTCTGCTTCGGCAGCCTGAGCTTGCTGGGAGCGCACGGGGCAGGGTGTCGGCCCTGGGTGCCGTCTGCAGAGCTGGGCTTCTGGGAGGGGCGGGCTCTCCTTGCACCTCCTCTTCTGACATCACTGGCTTCTTTTTATGGGGCGGGGGGGGTGCAGGAAATGTAGATACTTTTAAAGTAGTTCGGATAGTTGCCTTTTAGAGGGTTCAGCGGGGTGCTGAGTAGGGCCGCGTTCGGGTAGCCCTTGGTGGGTTGCCGACCCCGTCGTGAACCTGCAGCCTGCGCGTGGGTGCTCAGTGCCAGGTCAGGTGTTGACAGCTGAGCATCTGCAAAAAGAGACATTTTTGTGCCCTCCTGACTTCCAGTACCCCCTTAACATTTTTGTTGTTTGGGTTTGTAAAAATTGGAAATAGATTTTCAGTGGAGGTTTAAATGAGCCCCGGCAGCTCGAGAGACTGGCGTGAGGAGTTCAGGAGTGGGAGAGTGAGCAGCCTGGTCCGTGCGCTGCCTCCAGAGACTTATGGCCATGAGTCCAGAAGCTTAGCGCCGCGGGCCAGGGTCCGGCCTCCTGGGGCCATGGTAGCCGCTGGCCGCTCACGAGTGAGTCATGCCTGCCGAGGGCTCGGGTCAGCAGTACTGCAAACCGAACAGTAGCTCAGCGTAAAATGTAGGCTGAGGCGACAGCCTTAATCAGCTCAATGCCCCGTGATGCTGAAGTGGCAGTAGCCCCTCAGAGAGCTCCTGACTGAAATTGCTTCCCCTCGGAGAACTCCTCAGCAGCAGGACCTGACACGGCCAGGGAGCGTCTCTCCCCACGCGTGTCTGTCTGAGCTGTTTCTTGGCGCAGCTATTTTTATGTTGAAGACCTTTCCTGCTAAGTGGGATGGAGCTGTAAATAGCGTGAACGGCCTCGCCCTCGCCTGTGCCCATAAACGTTGAGCCCCAAGGCGTTTCCATCTCCATTTTGGCGTCATGGGCTGGTTGGCTCACGTCGGCATAGTGAGCTTTTAGTGCAGCTAGCCTGACAGCTTCACCCCCAGAAACTTGAAGCTTTTTGTAGTGTTTCAGGTTTATTTTTACAAGATGTCCTAGCGCCTGGTGGCATTTGTAGGTTGTTTCTTTGGGGTGATGCCAGGTGACTTTCCTGCCCTGCTGTGTCCCCCACAGAGCCCTTTCAGGAGAGCTCCTCCTGCTGCCACGGGCTCGGGAGGCCGCGCGTGTGCTCCTGGTCTTGTCTGCGCTGCACGAGGGCAGCACGCGCGGCCTGAGACAGCGTTTCTGTCCGGGGCCACACTGTTCCTCCTGGGAGCCGCCCGCCCGGCCTGGCGCGTTCTGCCCTTTGCTCCGCCACTCGCCTGAGCGTCTGACCAGGGCCGTGGGGCAGCTTGGCCTTGTCGAAGCTCCCTGGCCACCAACTCCCTGTAACGGTGTTGTTTGTTTAGAGAAACTGACTTGAAGCAGCAGCTGGGGTGCAGTGGTTTGTACCCCACAACTAGAGACATGAACAGTTTCCAGGTGTTAGCCTTAGCGAGATGGCGGCCAGAGACGCCGTCTCGGACATGAGGTGTTTGTCACCTGTCAAGGTGAGAGTCGTCTAGTCTCGGCCTTGCTTCTCCGCGTTGCCTTGCGCTGGGTGCCCGGAGTGGGGACGAGGGGCCCAGCGCCAGGACAGAGCCGAGCGCCAGGTTTGCACTGAGACCAGCTGCCTCTGCTTGCTGATGACACAGGTGACTTTCATTAGCTTGGCAGAGTTTTTCTTAAAATTTTAGGTTGGGTTAAAAATGACACATTGTGACAGGGTAAGTCCTTTGGTAAAACTAGGGCCGAGGTCTGTACTTGCTCAGGCACCACCCCCTTGGTGTCTTGTGTTTAACCTGATTAAAGTTTCGCTTCTCTTTTAAAAGACTGGCTTAGGGCCCTCCCCGGCGGCGCAGCGGGTTAGGGCGCAGCACTGCAAGCCAGCGGCAGCCGCTTCGGTGTGAGTTCAGTCCCACCCCCGTGGTGACCCACTCGGCTCAGCAGACCTCTCCTGACCCACCAGCTACTCCCCTCAGCACTTTGTCAGTCTGCCTGTGCTGCTCCCTGCTTTGTCTCAGATGAAGCCTCTCACCCCCTGCACCTCTGACCTGTACCCTAGGTCTGCCTATTCTGCTCCCGCCTCTGTCTCACAGGAATCCTTTTACCACCCCTGCACCTCTGGCCTGTACCCCAGTTCTGTATGCGTAAGTAAATAACTCTTTAAAACAAACAAACAAAAAGGCTGTCTTAGAGGCTGCCTCCTCGCCAGGAGAACCGGTCAGTGTTTATGGCGAGGGCACAGCAGCAGGTCCAGCCTCACGGGTACCGGGTGGCGAGCGAGGCTCCTAAGGGCTGGCAGCTGTGGTCGCCAGGGTGAGCAGTGTGATGTCGCCCACCCCTCGGGCAGACTGAGGCTCCAGAGCGGCCACTGGTGACCATTGTCCTCGAAAAACCTTCGCTCAGGAGCTGGAAAGGGCCGTCCGCGGGGTCTGAGTCACCCATTGGTCGGAATGGAAGGGTGCCAGTACCTGGAGCGCCGTGAGGACGTCCTTCCTGCTCCCTGGCTGTTCTCGCAGGACACGGGCTGAGAGCAGCTGCCCGTCAAGAGGTGTGAGGCAGACCTTCTGCCTGTGGAATTTTGGATTCTTTCTGTTCCTTCCTCTTATCCCTCCCCTCCCTGGTGCCCCCCTCTCTTCCCCCACCAGTGAGCCCTCAGCTCTGTCTTAGCGTGTCTTGGAAAAGCTAGAGGCCGAGGTAGCACTGGAGACAGTTTCTTAGGCCTGCAGAGTTCAGAAAAACCAGCTGAAGCAACGTGAGAAGGCCCGAAGGAGCTGCCTCCTGCTGCCCTGCACTGAGCTTTGGCTCCAGACTTCTGGGCTGCCCTCCTTGTATGCACTGACCACTTTTCCTCCCGCCTTGCCAACCACGTCTCTGTAGCTGGTGGCCAGCAGTCCTGACATTGGCAGTCCAACCCGGGCTGCAGTCTCAGTCACCCTCAAGGCGATACTGGTGGGGAGAAAAGCACCATGTCACAGGAAGCAAAATGGACAGTCCCCAGTCATCCAGGGGATGAGTCCCCTGGACCCACGGGCCTTGCTGTGACTGACACTCGACACTGTTCATTCCTGGCCACCTCCCTGCCCAAGTGCCTCGCCGGGCGCCACTGACTGGCACTCGCTGTCTGTGCCGGCTTCTCTTGAGCTCAGATGTACTTGACGAGCACCGACAGGCGTTCCACCTGTGCCAGGACACCCCATTACTGTTGGAGTTACCGTCATCCCAGAGCGCTTCCCCACGCCGCATCCCTGCAGATCCTCACCTGCGCCCCCCAGAGACAACCACTGTTAGCATATTTTTCCCCTCCCATAGATGACTTTTGTGTCTTCCAGAACTTCCGATATGTGGACACATAGCACGTGCCCTTGCGTGTAAAGCTGCTGCCACTGAGATTCCTCAGCATTGGGCTCGCGCCTCTTTAGTGCTGAGTGGTATGCCGCTGTCTGCGCAGCCACGGGTCAGCCATCCTGTGGATGGACACTGGAGCGCTTCGCTTGTGGCCGGCTGTTCTGAGAAACCTGGTGGAGCCTACGTGCCCAAGCCTTTCGGGGAGTGTGTGACCTCGTGGGTAGTAACTTGACGTAGAAAGGGCACATCCTTTGTTTGGTTTTATAAGAAACTGCCAGATAGTTTTCCAAATGATGGTGCCATTTGCACTCCCGCCAGTAACGTGTGAATGGTTACTCTGCATCCTCGCCCACACAGGCATGTCAGGCTTTTTAATCTTAGCTCTTGCAGTGGGTGCATAATGGTTTCTTGTTCACTGCGTTTCCTGATGGCTGATGCTGCTGAACACTCACCGTGTCTGTGCTTGTGTTTCCTTCGTGGAGCGTCTGTTAAAGCCTGTCCCCGTGTTTATTGGTCTGTTTACGTATTCTGGATACAGATAGAAAACCCAGGCTGTGGCGTGACTGTTCATTACATGAATGAAATCTTTGAGCAGAGGCTTTTTATTTTGATGAAGGGTAGCAGCGCTTTCTCCTGCCATATGCATCGCTCTGTATCGTCTCATAAGCCTCCGTCTGCGCCAAGGCCAGGAGACGCCCTTCCGTGTTTTCTCCTGGGTGTAGCGCGAGCCTCCCGTTCCGGCGCAGCACTGCCTGGAATTCATGTTCACGTGCATGCGAGGGAGGGGTCGAGGCTTCTTTGCCCCGTATGGGTATCCGGTGGTTTTGACTTGCTGAACAGCTTCTCTCTCCCACCACACTGTGCTGAGACCCGTGTAGGAACTGGCTCGCACGCCACCTGGCCCCCCCTTGCCCTGTCCCCGCCCCGCCCCCTGCTGTAGCGCGCTGGGTGCCTGGGGGCCAGGCGGCGCCAGTCTTCAGCTTGGGCCCTGATGGTTCAGGGCCGCCCTGTGTGTCCCAGGTTGTTTGTCTCTCCGGAAGGTGTAAAGTCAGCGTGTCAGTGGCTGCAGGCAGGTGGGGCCTGTGTTCAAACTGTGAAACACTGAGCAGAAAATTGAGAGCTAATAACATTGGGTCTCCAGACATCACCTGCCGCTTCATTTACCCAGCGCTTCCCCGACTTTGTCATGGCAGCCTTCAGCACAGAGATTCTGCAAGCCCTTTGTTAAATATGTCACAAAATAGTTTTGCTTGTTGATGCTACAGCAAATGAATTTTTTTTAAATGTAACTATCATTAGGTACACATTTGATTTTTATGTTAACTTTATGGCTTCTAAATTCACTACTGAGTTCTAAAAGTTGATTTTATAAATCTGTTAGGATTTTTGCTCTAAACAGTCATGTCATTTGCAGGTGCGATGAGTTTTAGCTTTTCTTCAGTTTACATGTTTTCTCACCTCAGTGAAACGGCTAGAAGTTCAGTACAGGTAAACCGGTCAGGAGAGAGTAAACCTTCCAAGGGTCATGTAACACGGGGAAGCTGTCTGCCGCTCCAGCACGAAAGGCCATGCTGTGGTGAGGTCCCCTGTGAGCGCGGGGCTGCGCTGCTGAGGCTTCACGAGGAGTGTTGTCACGCCTCATTGGCCTGCTGATGTCCCTGCCTCCACCGCGGTGGCTGTGCGCTTCCCGCCACTCCTCGCACAGAGCCCTGCCCCATCTCCCTTTGGGCGTCTGTGGGCCACACTGCTGTATTGCGCATCCCGACGCTGACTGAGAATGGCTGTTTCTGTGGGGGGGGGGTTGCAGTTGGTTTTCAAGCCTTGTGATGTGTTACGCTGATCTCACAGAACAAGGGGTGCTCCCCTTCCATTTTCTCAGGAGCTCAGAGAAGATGAATGTATTTTTCCCATCAGTGTTTGCTAGAATTAACCAGTAAAACAAGGTTTTCCTTACAGATTTTTAGGTGATTCATTCATCTGAAATCCTGAATAGATACAAGGAAATTCAGGTTTTCTGTTTCCTCTATATCTGATTTGGTGTAAGGCATGTTTTTCGGGGGGTTGTCAGTTTCATCCAGGTTGCCAAACATTTCTGTGCCCGGTGTTGGGGAGCTTCCGCCTGCTTCGGTCGACCAAGGATAGTCCCCAGTCCTGCCTGCAGTCACTGCTCTCTCCCTGACTAGCCTACCTAGGGGGTTTCTGTTTTCTTCACAGCCTCCTCGGCAAATGATTTTCATGCTGGATTTTGGCCAACATTAAGGTCATTAATTCAAATAGCTTGAACTAAAATAGCATTCACTACTCCAATATCTGGTTTTAGTGAAAGAGAAGAATGATTTCTAATTTTGTAAATCATTGCTAAGATTGATAGGCTTTGCAGAAAGACTTATGTACATATAGAAGACATTTCATCTGAACTGTTCTTATGCTCATTATGCACACAGTCTCTCCTCTTTTTACCTAGGACAATCTAAAATATGGGCTGGAAAATAAATAATGCATGATTTTCACTTATGTGAAAAATTGTTAGGAATTGTAAAATCGAGAACTCGGTGGAAATCGTCGTTTTCAAGGAGCTGACGATTGCAGCATGGGGGTGGGGGCAGACAGTGAAAATGACGGTCGCTGTGCCGGTTCAGTCCCGCCAGTTCAGGAGGTGCCAGCGCTGCCCCCTCACTGGGCATCTGAAGAGACCTAAGTGGGGCCAGGCCAGCGGTGCCCCTTTGGCGGAGCTGGGAGGCAGCAGCGCCAGAGCAGGCCTTGAGCTGTCGTCTTACACTGCGCGCTAGGACTGCCCGCTGCAGGGAGGCGCCCCGCGTCCTGGTGGTTACCTGTGGGTTTGCTCTGCAGGTATTCTGAGAGGAGCCTCACAAAGTGCATCGGCATCACTATTGAGACCAGACCAGATTATTGCATGAAGCGGCATTTAAGTGACATGTTGACCTACGGTTGCACCAGACTGGAGATTGGGGTGCAGAGTGTCTACGAAGATGTGGCCAGGGACACCAACAGGTAGGGTGGCGGCAAGTGACCATGCCTGAACCTCTGCCCCCCCGCCCCAGACGGAGCTCCATCTGTGCTCATCCTTTTCTGCTGCTCTTAGCTTGCTTTTCCATGCCCCTGTGAACACTGCAGTGACTGAAACGGTCAGTACCCCTGCACTGTCCAAGACAGCAGTGCAGCTGAGGAGCTGAGCTTATTTTAATGATTTTAAATACAGTCTTGAATAGCTCGTGTGCCTCTGGCTTCCATATTGTACAGTGCCACTTTAGGGTGTTAGCTTTTGGGTATAGTATGCAGGAGAGGCCTCGTCTGCACAAATAAATTTGGAAGCCACTAGCGAAAAGAGAAGGGATTGAAGCCATGGAAGTGAATAGGAACACCCAGGGACAGTGGATGCAGTCCTGCCTGGTTCCGGGGTCCTGCGGTGAATGACAGTGTCGCAGTGGTGAGGTGTGGCACACGACTTTATGATTAGTCGCCCCCACTTGCCAGGAGGCGTGTCTCCTGCTGGGATGTGGCCCTGGAGGGTGCCAGGCTAAGGTGACTGAGCTGTTTGGCCCCTGGCGGTCTGTCTGCCACCAAATACCTCTCTTCAATTGCCAGGACCCGCCAGGCCCAATAGGGAAGGTCCACTTTTGTGCGTGTCAGTCTCTGTCCTCCTCCACTTGCCACCTCCCCCCCCCCACCCCCCCCCGTCAGCTCAAGATTTTTCTTAAAGAAAAGGAACGATCCTATCTAGCTGCTGCTTCTGCGTGGCTTGGAGCCCACTGTCCGCGTTTCTTACTTAGATACCTGCAGCAGTAAGCTTGTTGGGGTGGTGCTACCAAATCAGGTCATTTTAGTACATGTTAACTGTTCTCCTATCCTTCGCTCCCAGAATTTTGAGTGGGGTGCATAAGGAACTTCTGAGCACACTCAAATAAAAGTGTTTATTTTCAGAGCGTAGAGAAGTCAGAGTGACTGAGATTTCCCCCCAGACCATATTCTTCCTCGGAGGAGTTCCAGAGTTAGATGTCCCGGAGCTTGCGCTCCTGTTCCGTGTGAGGGCCACGTCACCCACTCATATCATACCCAGTGAATTTCCTGTCCCCAGGGGCCACACCGTGAAAGCCGTGTGCGAGTCCTTTCACCTGGCCAAAGACGCCGGTTTCAAAGTCGTGGCTCACATGATGCCTGACCTGCCGAACGTGGGGCTGGAGCGGGACATCGAGCAGTTCACGGTGAGCACCTCCCGAGGCCCGCGGTGCTGCGGCCTGTCAGTAAAGCAGTGCGACCTCACCGCAGCATGCCGCAAGAGGAGGCCCCCGACTCGGCTGTTTTAGCCCTAAATGCTTACCCAGCGGGAAATGCTGGCAGGTATTTACCAGGGGACACATCTACGAATGTCTGCTGGTGCTGTCAGCAGAAAGGGCCCGAGTGTCCGTGGACAGTAGGCGGGTGTGGTCATGTGGGAAGTAAAGCAGTAAGACTAAATTAACTCCAGCTTCATGCAGCAGCAGGCGTTGGTTCCAGTCAGCATAATAAGAAGGCAGAGAAACCAGGCCGGGGATGCTGCCTTTCTCGGCTCTCGTGGTGTGAAGTTCAGAGACTGGGTGGCTGGCCTGGCTGGGTCCGGCGGGCCCTCCGTGGCCCCCGAGCTGACCGCAACCTCCCCTCGGGCCTGTGCCTGTGCGTGCCCCTGGAACTTGGCTTAGGACACTGCTGAGCCGGGTCGTTGCTGTGTCACCACAAGTGTAGCCCGTTGGTTTGCATCTGTCCTCGCAGGAGGCGCAGACAGAGCAGCGTGATAAACAGCACTTGCTTGGATTTTCTAGTAATGCGTACTTGTTTGGGTAGCCGTTTCCGTAAAGCGGCAAGTCTTACTGTGATACAGCGTGCTCACCTCGCCCCTTCCCGGTATCCTCAGAGAGGGATGTTTGTACTCAGAGTAACTCGTGACGGTGTTGGCATCTTACTGTCACCCGCTAGGCTGCTCCTGAATGCCCTTGAGTGTCCCCTTTGGTTTTCTGGGTTTATGCTTTTAAAATTGTTACTTTAATGTGGTTTGGAGGGGCTGCATGGTCCACCTTGGCCCCAGCACCGCACGGCGGCCAGCGTCCTGGGAAGGAGAAGGCCGGCATCTCTTGGCTGCAGCCCCTCTGAAGAAATAAGGCAGCCGGCTGGGTGACGCAGGACAGGAAATGACTGTGTCAGAGTAGATGAATCAGATTATCACTCAGTGTCCGGATAATAAATGGACTTTGTAGCCCTGGGTTGGGCATGGTGCCAGATGGCCAGGACAGAATGGCCTTGTCCGGCATGCAGAGGGCTTTTTCTGCAAAGACCCTTACAGTCAACATTGTAGATTTGCAGGCCAGATGATGATTTCTGTCCTAACAGATATATTCTGTTACCAAGGAGGGAGGCAGGTGAGAGGTGGGAGCAGGCACGGAATAGTAAGAGAGCAGGAGTAGAGGATTTGGGGGGCATTTTGTGCGAGGAGGTCAGGAGGCCTGTCTGAAGGCACGGACTTGCCCTGACGATTAGCCGGGGACAGACAGACTGGTGCGGACAGGAAGGCGGGAGGAGAGGCTGGGCCGCGAGCGGTAGCAGTGCACAGCCGGCCTCGTGGGGCCTGGTCACCTAGCACAGCTCCGGTGACCTCCACATCACTAGTGGACACAATTTTCTGTTGTCTATTCGCAGGAACTCTTTGAGAACCCTGCTTTCCGTCCCGATGGGCTGAAGCTCTACCCTACCTTAGTGATTCGTGGGACCGGACTGTATGAGCTGTGGCGGTCTGGAAGATACAAGAGTTACTCTCCCAGTGACCTGGTGGAGCTGGTGGCTCGGATCCTGGCCCTCGTGCCTCCGTGGACGCGCGTGTACCGAGTGCAGAGGTGAGTGCCACCTGCCTCTCAGGCTGCCTCTACGCCATCTGGTCACGGCTTCTGATGAGAATGGCCTGGTGTCATGAGGGCTTTGAGCTACAGTTAGTTGAAATGGGCCGTTTCGAAGGCGCTCTGTACACGAGGAGAGGAATGGAAATGAGGCAGGGGCCAGCTGCTTGGCTAGTATCACACTTCCTCGTGTTCCTCCGTTTGCTCAGGAGTCAGGAGGAAGAGCTGGGAAGGTGGAGGTGGTCCGGTCCCCCCTACGCCCCCCCCCCGGCAGTCGCCGTCCAGGTCAGTTTGCCCTCTATGCACACCTTGGCCCGTATGTGCTGCCCACTTCTACCACCCTGCCTTGAGCTGCTGATGCCAGTATTACGAGTCCCCTGGTTCGCAGCTGCTCATGCAGTCACTGCTGTCAGAAAAACTGGTGAATAACTTAAGGTGACAAATAGTAAAAGCAAGCAGACATTTCAGCCAAAGGAAATTACCAAGGATATGAAAGAATGGATTTGCTTAAAGGTCAGGGAATGTTTATGACAGACTTCTGCAACATCAATGTCTTAGGTTTTTTTTCTATTACTGGCCCAACTGAAGGATCTAAATTGCCTGTATTATCTCCTGTTATTTAAAAAGCACCCAAGAATACTAAGGAGATATTGAACAGAAAATTGAACTGTCAGAATTGTTTGCGTTTTCCTTCCCCTCGTTTTTAACCCTTCAGGAACAGCTCAGACCAAAAGCCTTTAGGGGGCTGAATGGTACAGGCCCTTGCTGGGGTACACAGGAGCCCGGGACGGGCCCAGGATGTGTGCACAGGGTTTCTGGGGAGGGCTGGTGTGGTGTGGCCCAGATGTGGTGAGGGGCCTGGCACAGCTGGGTGGCAGGACAGCAGCAGAGATGGGTCGGTTACCTGCAGGAATTGACCTAGTGAGAACGTGGGAGCTAGGTGTTGTTACCTGAAGGGGGGTTGCAAATCTGATAAAGAGAATAAATCCCATGGTGCTGGGAGTAGGAGATTCTGGTGTCAATTCATGGTTATCAACAGATTGGTAAATGTGGTGACATCACGTCTCCTTTTGTGACGCATGGTACATGTGTGATATATAGACATCATTGGCATAGTCAGTATAGTGGGGAGTCCTTGCCACAGTCTGGCCATGGTCACGGCCTTTGCATTCTGTGCGCTGTGGTGATTTCAGGGCGTCAGTGTCCCGACACAGCACCGAGTCTGCAGCACCCTGTGCGTGGCCAAGACATGTCTCCTGGGGACGCCTCCACGCGCTTGTACACACATGCTTTGGCACCATTAACACGTTAGCTGTGCACATGTGGGTTGTCTTTAAAGAAAACACAGAAGGCGAGCTATCGATCAGCTCACGAAAACACCGTGGGCAGGAACTCAGGAGCCTCACCCAGCTTCCCCAGAAGCGGTGCTCAACGCTCACCGGCGTCAGCGCATGGACTGGGTGTTGCTTCCAGCGTGCACACTTGGCCCAGAGGCAGGCGGCCCGGTGAAGCGCATTCCTCAGTGACAGTGCATATCACTCGTGCCGCCTGACTGTGTACGTTGCAAACAGTGTCATTAGTGTCATTAAACCCGAACTCCGCAACCTCATTCGTGAGGAAACATCAGACAGCCTAAAGTTAGGAACATTCTATGAAAATGACCAGCTTGGCAGTCTTCAGATGTCGGAGGTGTGAGAAGAGTCCTGTGTTTGAGGAGGGGAAGAGGCTGACTGAGGCTTCTGCTGTGCAGGACGCTCTTAGGCATGCTGAGGCTCCTGTGCATGCAGCCCACGTCAGATCACTGCTCAGGTCCGTGGTGGCCTGGTGGTCATGGTGGGCCGTGGTTCTGTAAGGGAGTATCCTGCAGGGACCCTCACACCACAGCTGTCGTGACATCTTCCGGTTTGCTTGCACAGTTCTGGAAAACAGGTTTTTGGACCACACTTGGGACTTTGAGGGGCTTCAAAAAGTGAATGCAGCGGATGGCAGCAGAGCAGCTAGTAGCACCAGCTGCCGCAGGAGAAAGGATCCTTTACCTGTCACGTGTGCAACAGAACGCTGCGCGGCCTAGGTGCTCTCGGCTGCCCCAGCCTGCTGCGGGCCCAGCGGCCGGGGCCGGACCAGGCCCTGTGGCTCTGACTAGGTTGCAGGAACGAGCTTCTGCGGAGTCATCAGGGACTTGGGAGAAATGGAATACTTGCGGGTCTAGAGGGAACGTGGCGTGTTTCAGGGGTACGCAGCAGGTTGCTGGGAGGGGAAGGAAGGAGGGGGTCCTGAAGGTTCCCCAGGTGGAGTATGCTGGGTGTTGGGGTTTGTCCTGCTCTGGGTAATTTAGAGCATGAGCGGGCATGAGGGCCTGGGAGGGTCGACGGGGGTCACTCAGGTGTCCAGGTTGCCCAGGACTCTCTGAGGGGGGCACCTCCTCCTCTCACCAGAGGTCTGCTAGCCCTTGTGTCCGGCAGCTGTGGTAGCTTTTCTGGACCAGTGTCTTGCCTCAGCCATAAAGACCAAGGTCAGGCACTTGGGCGCCAAGGGCTCGGCGCCGGGCACTGCGGCAGCAGCCAGAGCCAAGTGAAGGGCCCGCCCAGCAGCAGAGCACGGCGGGCTCCCCGAGCAGACAGCCTGCCACAGCTGCAGACCCCAGGCCGCCGTCATGCGAGCAGGGCAGCCCGCTCGGCGGACGTGGAAGCGCACTGCAGAGGGCTGTGGTGTGGCAGTGGTGGCTGCCCTGCAGCAGAGGCCGGAGAAGGCGCGGTGGGCTGAGCCTGCACCAGGCTGTCCAGCGTGACCCCGATGGCCCTGGAGGCTGCCACCAGGAGAGGCCCCCAGCTGGAGTGCCAGGCCACCCACCATCCTGCATCTGTCCTTGAGGACCGGCCCTGCTGCAGAGGCGGGTGGGCTCGAGACCTTGAAGTGATGCCTCACCGGCATGTGGGCGTTTTGGGACCTATCTGGGTACTGTGGAGCAGGTGACCTCTTTAAAAATGTGGGGCCAGGAATGGCCTCGTGAGTCTGAGGACAGCTCATTTGGAGAGTGATGACTCACTGCAAACACAGCAGATGCCTCTGTGGCGCCACCCCGGGGTCTGAGGGCAGGTGCTGGGGCGGTCCAGGGCTGATGTCTGCCAGGGCGCAGACGCTGCTCGGCTTTGCAGTCATTTGGGGGGTTGGGGGACTGCTGTTTAATACAAAGAATAAAACCTGCATGGTGTATTCCAGCAGCTGTATTCTATGTGCATTCTCTAGCTATGATGTTGCTAAGAGCCTCCTTCTGAATTTGGTTTTTAATGTGGCTGTGAACCGATGTCAGTAGCAGGCCTGTGTCTGGGGCGCGTCAGCTGCCCGCCTGGTGTGCTACGCTGGTGCCCCGGCTGCTGCTTCCAAGTCACGCGGCTGGCCGGCCTCACTGCTTGCCTCTTCCTGTCTTTGTTCGTATATTCTGCCCTTACATGCGGCACAGAAAATGATTCAGGTTAATTCCGATTGGCTTCCTTTTTGTTACCACTGATTTGGGTCTACGGGAGATGATGCTTTTATCAAGCTATCTCAGGAAAACATCATAAATTGTACCTGTCCCTCACAGGCCTTTGGAATGACCTCTCCTAGACGAGCAAGACAGCCGGGGAGCCGAGGGCTGCGTCCGGGTGCAGGAGCACGCTGCCATTCCTCACCACGGCCGCTGTGTCTGGCCAGACGGCTTCCTGTCTGCCTCAGGACCTTGGGTTCCGGTCCCAGCATTTCATAGTTCTGCCAGACGTGGCTAGTGTTGGTTTATGTTGACCCTAGACTGACACACACTTGCATCAAGAGCTCAGTGGCCCAGACTTGGAGTAGAGGCAGCGGGGACAGTGTTCACGGCTGTCCCAGGTGTGCAGGGGAGGACTGGCTGTCGCAAGCGTCGAGTCTGAGAACCTCCTGATGAGGGAAGTGAGAACTGCAGGGTTTTACCTCTGCTTTGTTTCTGCTAGCTTCAGTTAGAAAGTTCTAGAGCTGAGATTGTCAGAAATGGATAGAGTCTCAAAGCAGGAGGTGCAGTGAGGCGCCCTCAGTGTTTTCATTTGAAGCAGCCTGTTGTCTGGCCAGGAAGAAACCACTGATGCCAGTCAGGCCTCCTCCCAGAGTGTTTAATCCATATGAGAACCGTGGTTTATTGTTTTGAGTCTCAGTAAAGAGATCGGTGTGTGTTTTCATGGCCGGACCTCGGGGCAGCTGGCCAGCCTGCCTTGGTCCATGTCAGCGACACAGTCCGTAGTGTTGACCAGGACTCGGCCCTTACAGAGACAGCATGGCTGGGCCTGTCCAGGTGTGTCGGGGGAGGAGCAGACAGGGCAGAGTCGGAGGGAGGGTCATCAGGTGAAGCCGTGTTTCCGTTTGCCTTTTTCAAACACTGTTTTACTGATAGAATACTTGGTGCTTTTAATTGGCCATTCTGCCCTTTTCTAACTACCTTACACTTGTAGTTTCATGGCAGTTGCCCACCGACCTCTCACCGGGCGTCCTCTGGAGCAGCAGAGTGGAGGGCTCTGGGTAGCAGCCCTGGAGGTGTCGTCACCCGAGGGTGGAGAGCTGCTGGTGCCCGGGGGCCTCGTCAGACAGCCGCCTGCCTGGGTGTGGCAGGAGCGTTGACTTGAAGTAGCGAATTGCAGCCAGAGTGTCTGAAGCGTGCCACTTCAGACAGAAATGGCCTCGGGTGTCATTTTGAAAGATTGTTGATGAGCAAATTACAAATATTCGCACCTGTAAGCTTGAAGTGTTTCCCCGCTGAAAGGGAAGGGGGTGTTCTTGAATGGAATCTCCCTTCAAACCGAGAATGTGGGGCTAGGTTGAAGGGGACGCACCTGAAATGAACCCTCGAGCCTTGCTGGGTGGGGGGAGCCCGTGGGGGTGGCCGGCCGCTTTGCTGGAGCTCTGCACAGCCTGCCGCCCTGCCGCACTTCCTGCTTGTGGGCCGACCCTCGCCTTCGCAGGCTTCCGCTCCCTGAGGCGGCAGGAATGTAGCGCCACCCCCAGACCAGAAGCTGTGCTGCCGGACAGACGCGGAGGCCGGGGCTGCTCTGCCCTCGCCTCCCGCCAGGCCCTGTGCTCCCAGCCCTCACTGCTGTGCTCGCCGCTGGCACCAGCTGGAGCTCTGGCGTCTTTACCCGCGTCCCGCATTTGTCTCTGGCCCGGCCGGCACTTCTGGCCCGCTGCCCTCCAGCCTGCTCAGCCTCTCCACGGGTAAGCCGAGGCTGCCGACTTTACTCCTCTGAAGAATTTGGGCTTCCAGAGGGCCCGTTCACGACTACACGTTTGCAGCTCTCGCCTTCCTGTCCCGCCCCCACCCTCCATCGCCTGTGGAGAGGCCCTGAGAGCAGTGCTCGCTGCTGGGGAGGGAAGGGGGGTGCTGGAGCGTGCCGAGGGGCGCACGGTAAACGCGCTGAAGTGAGGGCAGCTTTGTCACTCTCGAACCCTGAAAGATGGAAGGCCGAACCGGACCGGAGGCGCAGCACGGGATGGCAGGTCAGGGTGAGCGCGCGGGCCTTGAGACCTAGGCCTGGAGACAGCCGCAAGGGTGCGTGCAGGTGCGCGAGCGTGAGCAGCAACCAGCGACGCCGCCCTTCACGTTGCCAGATGAGACTTTATACACACATGGTTTAGTTGCTTCCAAAATATGCAGGGCATTTAAGGGCATGACAGAGACTTTCTTTGGCGTAGATGTTTAAACGGTCAGTTGATGTTTTAAAACATGGTATTTGCCCATTCCTTGCTGAAATCAGCTGTACTTTTTGGCTTTAGAAGGCTTCATTCAGTTTTATCTGGTTACTAATTTTAAATGTATTTAAAGACATTGTCATTCCAAAGAGACAAAGCTAATTTATTTTACCAAACCACATGATCAGCTCATGGCTCCAAAAATGTCCTTCTCTCTCCTCTCTGACTTTGAGCTTCCTGGTGTCACAATCCTAGCGAGTGTAGGCTTCTCGTCACCTTTCTAGTGGTCTGTGGGGCCTGCTGCTGGATTCTTGATACTTCTGAGTAAGGGAGGACTCACAAGAACCCAACGGATGAATAAATAGGCTGTTGTGTTCCTGACATCAGAGGGATGAGTGGAAAGGGAAAGATTTTGTTTGGTTCAAAAGCAGAAAGGAGAATGAGCGCGGCGGCCTGGGTTACTGGCCACGCCAGGTGTGGCTACGCGTCAGTCAGCGGCTATGCGGAAAGTGTCTGCAAGCGGCACGACAGGGCACTAACGTGACTGTTTCTCCACTCGCAGCAGGTTGAACTTTGTGGGGCCTCCCTGGTGGCACGGAGGTTAGAGTGAGTCTCAGCGCTGTCAAGCTATTAGTAGCCACTGTGGCCTGAGTCCATCCCTGGCCAGGGAGCCGACCCCGTCTGGGGTGCAACAGACCTCTCCTGTCTCCCCGCTGCTCCCCTCAGCAGTGTGTTTCAGTAGATCTGCCTGTTCTGCTCCTCAATCTGTCTCTGATGAGTCCTCTCACCCCCAACACCTCTGGCCTGTACCCCAGTTCTTGTATGCATAAAGGAATAAATCTTTAAAAAATGTATTTTGCAAAAAAAAAAAAAGTTTTATGACGATCGATGTCTCTTGAGCCAAAACGTATTACTGGTGACAGTGACATGCTTCGCACTTCATAGTCATATAAAGTAGTTTTTCACTTGGGTGTTTCTCACAGTAACCCCTGGTGTTCGGGGGATCATTCTGTGGATGGAAGGCGCTGCGGGTTCTAGAGCAGCCCTGAAGCTTGCTTCCTGGTCAGACTGCTCTTCCCCCTTCCGGCCTGCTTTGTGGTTTGTTGTTTCTCTTCTGTGTAGTGGTTGCTGCTGTTTAATGTCCTTGCCTCTGGGGAATGACTTACACCTCACAAATCTTCCTCCTGCAGAGATATTCCAATGCCCTTAGTCACCTCAGGAGTAGAACACGGTAACCTGAGAGAGCTGGCGTTTGCAAGAATGAAGGACCTTGGCATCCAGGTAAGTGTTTGACGGTGGCTGCTGAGGCCAAGGCAGTGCGAGACAAAGTGCGTGGCTTCAGTCCCGCTGCTGGCAGGCTTGGTTTAGTCAAAACTTGTCTGTCGAGTGAAGGCCCACTTGGCTGCCTCTTCCCCCCGCCTCTGCTTTCCCACCAGAAGGGGAGGTTCACGTACTTGGTGGTGGCTCTCCTGCCGCCTCAGCTTGCCACCTGTGTGCTGGCCTCCCTTTTTGAATATGTTTTCTTTTGAAGTACCCCGAGTCTGATTCTTGACCAGTGGTCATGGAAGTATGAGGTGGTACTCTTGAAGCCCCAAGGATTACCTGCCAGAAATAATCACCCAGCGTGCTTCGGTCTGTCCCAGGCCCGCCCACCCCGGGTCTGTTCTGGCAGTTGTTGATGTCACAAGTATTGAAGCGCCTCCACTCTGCTGGCCCTGAAGTACACACAGTGCAGAAATCTGCAAGTTTACAGCCCCTGCAAATGATTCTTAAATCACAGTAAGGTTTGACACTCAAAAGTGTCTAGAAGTTTCTTCTCGGAGCTGGCACTGGCTCCTGCTCTCCGCTCGCAGACTCACCACTCCGGATCTGGGGTGGCCTGGAGGGCTCAGGCACTGGCGCAGCCTCTCGTGGGCAGACGTGCTCGAGTGTCACATGTGACTGACCAGGGCGCTCCATTTCAGGCAGATAATTGAGGAAATCCTTTGGAGAGGCTGACTCTGCCAAAACACAGGGATAGCAGGGGTGTTTTCAGTATTAAACTAGCCTGTGTGCCTGCTCCACTTCCAGCCTCCGGCTCTTCCCACACCCCAACTCCCCTCCCCTCCGAGACTGGCCCTTGCTGCAGTGGCCGCGGGAACGCCTGTTTTCCTGCCGTGTGGTCAGCCAGGTGCCCACTTGGGCCCTGTACCCCGTACCCCTGGAGGAGCTTCAGGGCAGCTGCAGGTCAGTTGTAGCCTAGGACAGCGAGCTCCCAGAGGCAAGGCATTTGCCAGAAAAGCAGCACCCATCTATGTATGTCTGTCAAAAAGGCACCCCCAAACAGAAAGGAAGAGCACACACAGTCTCCTTAAGAACACACAGCCTGTGCGTTCACGCCGGCCGCGAGGGCCAGGTGCTCTAGTTAAAGGGTAGCAAAGACTTAGGGCAGCTGCCGCCATTTGCACCCGTGTTTTTCTACTCGGTTGTTGAGCTTGTGAGGCCCACAGCAGCAGAACGTTGTGGCGTTAGGCCTCTTCGTGAGGCCTGGAAGGAATTAGCTTTGTTTCCTAGAACTGAACGGTAAGCGCCTCTCCCCAGGGACTGCTAGGCCCGTGTGGCGGCCTTCCTGAGTGGCTGTGGGGGACTAGACCACCAGGCCCGGGCTGCTCCTTGCCAGCAGGAGTGTTTGAATTCTGAGCATCAGCTTAGTGTTCAAGCAGCAGGTCACCCAGCGTGGGACGCAGCGTGGCTGCTGCCAGGACTGTGGCTGGTTCACGCCAGGCTGTGGCACACAGGGTCGCAGGCGGAGGGGAGAGTCACGGCGCGTTGCTGTGGTGCTTCCGGCTCGGCCACGTCGGCTGCTGGCAGCTCTGCACCCCCAGGACACTGGGATTGTGGTCCAGTGGGTTCCTTCCCTCTGTCCTGCCACTCACCTTCCTGGCTCCTGTCCCCTCTTCCTCGCTGCCGTTCTCTACAAAAATAAGCAGCCTTCAACATCGGGCTTTTCAACACTTAGGAAATGACACAGATACGGCGATGCTAAAAACGTGAAGTGCCATAAGGTGGCGAAGGTTCTAAAAAATTAGGACTCTGCTTCTTCCTCTCACGTATGCATAGTTTGGGATTGCAGTTTCCAAGTGCACTTAGTTTAGCCCCTGAGGATAAGGTTTTGTTCAGATTTTATGATTTATACTGTTCGCCTCCAAGGTCATTTCATATATCTCCTTCAAATTCTAAGCTCATTTTAAAGACAACACAGTTCAAATGTCATACGTTTCCATTCTGCTTTCTCCTGTAGTTTTATTAATAGTGATTCATTTTTAAGTTCAGTGCTCTCAGTGTAAGTTATGTCACTCTGGAGCACTTGGGAGGTGACCAGAGCTGCTGAGGGACAGGACTTTGAACTTTAATCCTCTCAAATTAAGCCCATTTGTCCTTCTCCCTCCCCTTTTTACCCCTGGCAGTGTCGTGATGTGAGAACCAGGGAGGTTGGAATCCAAGAAATCCATCACAAAGTGCGACCATACCAGGTTGGTGTCTTCCCTTTATAGAGGCTAGGTCCTGTTCTCAGAATCTCTCCGACCTGGGCCCCCGCCCTAATAGTAGGACCCAAACCTCGACAGTCATGGAGAAGAGCAAAGCGTAAGTGGGGGTCACATACAGATGTCCGGCCAGAGCCAGGAGTGAGGTGATCTGCAGTCCATTTGGGTCAGCACTGTCCAGTGCTCTGCAGCGCTGTAATGTTCCATGCATCCATGAAGTGTCAGCCTCTGGTGGTATGTCACTCCAGAGCACTTGGGAGGTGACCAGGGCCCCTGAGGAACAGGACTTCGAACTTCAGTCCTTTCAGCTCTAGTAGCCACATGTGACGAAGGCCCCCTTGGGGCCGAGCTGGGTGTGCATCTCTTCAGCCGAGCCCCCATCAGGAGTTCTTGAGGCTTGGACTGCCTGGGAGCCATGTTAGTAGTTTACTTAATTCTTTTTTTTTTTTTTTAACATCGATTTACTTACACATTAAGAACTGGGGTACAGGCCAGAGAAGCAAGGGGTGAGAGGATTCACCAGAGGCAGAGTGGGGAGCAGGATAGGCGGATCTAATGCTCTAACTGCTCAGGGGAGCAGCGGGGAGACAGGTGAGGGTCAGCTCCCTGGCCAGGGATCAAACTTGTGCTCCAGCGGCTGCCAACAGCCTGATAGTGCTGAGACTTAGACCCTTGTGCCCCCATAATTCTTGATGATTCATTCTCTACCCCTAATTGTGGCCGTTGGCCCAAATGCATACAGTTTTAAAAGTGAACTTTGTTCTGTAATGAAGTTTTTTCTTTGGTGGTTTTCATTAAATAGGTAGAGCTGGTGAGGAGAGATTATGTTGCAAATGGCGGCTGGGAGACATTCTTGTCCTATGAAGACCCCGATCAGGACATCCTGATCGGCCTCCTGCGTCTGCGCAAGTGCTCGGAGGAGACCTTCCGCTTCGAGCTGGTCGGAGGCGTTTCCATTGTCCGCGAGCTGCACGTGTACGGCAGCGTCGTCCCTGTGAGCAGCCGTGACCCCACCAAGTTCCAGCATCAGGTACCCTGTGCTCCCGTTCTCTGGACGTGTCATTAAGAAATTGCCCGAAGGAGGAAAAGGCTGGGGTGCGGGGCGCAGAGGAGAGGGAAGGGAAAGCCTCACAACAGGGACCAGTATTGTAGCTGGGCAGAGGTGTCTTCTCTCTGACTGGCACCTTTTTGGGCATGAGAGGGGAGGAAGAGTGTAACAGTCGACGACACCGCACAGCTGCAGAGTTTGAAAGCCCAGCAGTAAGCTGGCACTTTCACACGGCTCCTCTCGGGATCGAAGGAGATGATGGCGTGACGTGTGAAATGTTAACGCTACATACTGGAACACTGTTCTGCACACCCCTAATGGCAGGGGAAGTGGGGTAAAGCCACTCTGGTGGGTAGCGGGCACCGTATAAACCGGTGATTGGGAAACACAGCCTGGTGTCCAGAGCCTTTGAGAAACCCAAGGGGTGACCGGGAGATGCAGGCTAGAGGTTCACTGCGCCGCCTGGCCGTGACTGGGGTGCATAGAGCCAGTGTGGCAGACGGGAGTGGCGAGGGGGCCTGCCCTGCCCTGCTGTGCCCGGGGCGCCCGCGCAGTGCCCTCGTGGCATCACTCCTCCTCCCTTGGCCTGCTGCAGGTCACTCTGGTCTCGTGGACGGCGTCTCCCCCTTGTGCCCTCGATGGCACGTTGCAGCGGGCTTAGCCACCACAAGACATTAGCGCCTTCCTGTTTTACGGGTCCTGGAGTGACGTCCTTCCCCCGGTCACAACCTCATCATTCCCCCTCCCGCCCCCCCCCGTGCTCCTCGCAGGGATTCGGCATGCTGCTGATGGAAGAAGCAGAAAGGATAGCGAGAGACGAACATGGATCAGGGAAAATTGCTGTTATATCAGGTAACTGAGGAGCGCGAATTGCATGATGCACCACTCTTTCTTGTTTATAAAGATTTATTTATGCGCACAGAACTGGGATACAGGCCAGAGGTACGGGGAGTGAGAGGATTCCCCAGAGACAGAGTGGGGAGCAGAACAGGCAGATCTACGAAGTCCACTGCTGAGGGGAGCAGGGGGCGAGACACTGCTGAGCTATGTGGGTCAGCTCTCGGGCCGGGGATCAGACTCAAGTGGCAGTGGCTGTGGACAGCTTCATAATGGGGTGCTTGAACCCACTGCACCACCAGGGAGGCCCCGACGCATCAGGGTTTTAACGTGGTGCCCAGGAGAAGCGCCGCCGACTGCCTTTGAGCCTCTTTCTGAGGATGGCGTAGACAGGGCTGAGTCAGTGGCCTGCGCTCAGGCCTGAGGGCGGGCAGGCCGGGGCGGAGGGACAGCGCTTCCAGCACCCGCGGCAAGCGGCGGCCCGTCGTCTGCCCCGCTCTCTCCTCGCCACACTCGTCGTCGTCATGGCCAGCCGGCTTGGTGCTTTGTGCGCAGTTATTCTGTGTGGAAAAGTGGAATTCGATGACACTGAGCCAGGAAAAGTGTCAATCAATGTGGAGATTATTGATTCTGTTGCTTGGAAATCTCAAACAGCCTCCCTTGCCGGCCGTGGCGTTGAAAGGCAGAGTCCTCACTCTTGGTCTTGTCTCAGCTGCTGAGGAGCAGCGTCCCCTCGGCCGGCGTCTCCATCCCTCGCCAGCACCCCGGGCGCTGAGGGGGGCGTGAGCGGGAAGGCTGGCACGGGTGGGGCAGCTTCCTGGCACGCTGTTGAGGTTCTTGGGAACAGACTGGGAGCGAAGGGGTGCATCGTGAAGCGGGTCCCCCATGCCGCCGTGCGTGCCGGCCGGCCGGGACTGTGCGCCGTGCGACCTGCACAGATGCGAAAGCTTCGGCGACGAAAGCACGTGCTCGGGCTCTGCTGGGCGCCCGCTCCTTTTCCTGTTCCCACTGCGAGACTGACGTGGCAGCCCGTCACACCGAGGCTCCTTCTGCTCCTGTCGGTTTCTCCTGAGACTGCTGCCTTCCTAAAGGCACGTTGGGTTTTTTTACTTTTTCTGAAAATGAAAACTGAAATGAGAATTTAAAAAAAAAAAAATCAGTGTTGCCAATAAATCAGCACTCTCGCCCGGGCTGTAATGACTGTAGTTACGCACCCTCAGCGGCCCAGGCTCGTGTAGCCATAGTCTGGCCTTGGCATTGACATTAGCCAGGCGGCAGTGGAGCATTTCTTAGCACGGCCGGGCTTTATGGGTCTCCCGTTTGCTTTAGTCTCACTACAGCAGCGGGAACCAGGCGAGGCTCACCTGTCACTGGTGGCTGACCAGAAGCACCCAGAACTGGTGCTGCACAGGCGTCTCGAGGGTTGAGATCCCCTGAAAAATTAGGACCTGTTCTTGCCAGAGAACAGTCCGTGTTTCCAGGGCAGCTCTTCTTGAGCGTGAATGTGTGGGGACTCACCCAGAGGTGGCTCGGAGGCAGGCTTTGCCTCCTGGTGCTGAGCAGCATAGCCGCCCGGGGGCCTGTGCCAGGCTCGCCCAACTGTCGGGGAAGGCTCAGGACGCTCTCCCAGATGCTGAGGGCGGCTGTTCGTGTGACCCCGGCTGTGCCCCGCTCCAAGTCTGACACCACGCCAGTGAGTCTGCCTGTGGGAGCCAAGGCAGCTTTAAAAGTGAAGGACCATCTGCACCTTCATGCGCCTTTGGAAACTGATCCCTGTTTAGGAAGTGGAGACGAGCCCCCCGACTTGCCTGCGGTCACACTCTTACTCAGAAGAGCCTCAGGTCTGCTTGTTACGAGCAGGAGGAGCTTTTCTTTCACTTTTTATCCTGATCTTAAATAATAGTTTCATATGACCTGCTGGGAGAAATTTTAAAACGAGGGATTGGTTCGGAATGATGAGAGAAACTTTGCCCTTGTTCCCGGGGCTCCCGGGTTCTGTTGGGTCCCTGTGGCCAGGCCATTCTTCCAGAATCAGCCCTGCAGGGAGGGTGCGCGCCTCCTGCACCATGGCGTGTCGGCCCACCTTGGCTCTCCAGGGAAGCCACCAAGCCCACACCTTGCTGTTTGAGCCAAGAGCTGCACACCCTCCGATGAAAAAAATCAAGACTGTCTGCTCAGAGTATGATGGGCTTTATTTCTGTAATTTAGTAATATGTCCCTGACCTCTTACTTTCTGAATCAGACATCTGAGGGGTTCACTGTTCAGACACCAGGAGAGCAGATTAAGTGTTGACTGTGATGTGTTTTCCGGTTGTCTTTACCAAGTTCGTTCATTTCTCCCAGTCTTCCTGGTTTGAGTACAAGAGGGTGTGTGTGTGCATTCTGATTTTTTTTTTTCCTTACTCTCCCTAAGTTGACATTAGAATGAAGGTGCCGGTGCACCGACCACCCGGCAGGGTGGGGAGGCGAGCGTGGTGTGCACAGACTCCCCCCGGCCGCGGGGGCAGGGGTTTACTTGTTCTCTACAGGCCTTTATTTCTGTATCAGAAACAAGAGGATCTGTTCTCTCTTCCCAGTCTAACTCCAGAATTCTGCCCCTTCCTGTCAGAATTTCTGTGTTTTACTGACTGCACTTGAACTTGATTCTCTCCGGGAGTCACGCTAGGAGGCCCTTGCGTGCCGTCTGTGGTTGGCCGCGGTCCCTTGCAGCGTGGGTGCTGGGTGCCAGGTCCCCCGGGAGCGAGGCCTACCGTGCCTGTGGGTGTGCGGTGCCGTCCGCCTCAGCTGCTGGTGTGACCCCGTCCTCCGTCTGTGCTTGCTCTGGCCTGCAGTGAGCCACCCGGCGTGGCCGCGCACTCTGCCCTGGCGCTTGCTGGCCGAGAGAGGCCGCTGTCGTTCACCCGACTGTCGCGCAGCGCGCCTGGAGAACTGTCTCCATTGCACGCTGCTGCGTTCTGGCTGCCCTGCGTCTCGGCTGCACGCTTCTCCGGCTGGACTCATAGTCCCTGACTCTCCCCCCAGACACACAGTGGATCTGATTTAAACCACAAGTCAGAGGCCTCCGTGTATTCCGTTTTTCTTCCTTAAACAAATTGTTACCTCAGTGACTTAGACATCGGAGCTCTAGACTATATATTTTATAGCTGACCTTTCTTTAGATTGCTTTTGCATCTTTATGAGCAAATTTAAAACATTCTTGTTTATCAGACTCCAATGAAGGGTTTTCTTAGAGGCTTCGTTTATTCATTCTATATTGTTTGAAATACACGTAATTCTTAGTAAATTATGTGTATAAAAATTAAGCATCGACTCTAGATGTGAAGATTAGAGCAAGAAGTGAAAAGCTTAGCTTCACCACCCTCCGAGACACCTGGGCAGCGCATGTCCTGTGTCAGGCCACCAGCGGAGCCCAGGCGCCGCCCTGGGGTGCAGGAAGGTGCGTGTGTAGGACTAACGCCGTCTTCGCCTCCCACGGCCTCGCGCTGCACAGAAAGACGTGTTTTCCTCCCCATCTAGACTGTTTCCTTCAGTGTAAGGAAACACTCTTTCTGCATGTAAAAACGGGCCGACCGGCCTGCAAAATAGCGTGTAGGCAGGGCCTAGCAGGTAATCCTGCTAAGTGCCTGAGCAGTTAATTAGTCCCTGTTGAGTCCAAGCCCTTAGTATCTCTCCCCAACTTGTGTAGCGCCTATCAACACAAATCTGTTTAAGATGGACAGGTCACACTTACTCAGAAGCGAGGGTGTTTATCCTCTGGGATAATTAGCATTCTTTCCTTTAAAAATAATAAGATGAAGGAGGTTTTTACACCTCCCTCTCCCATGGTGTAACGTGCACGCGACTGTACCGTGGAACCTAACTTGCAAGTGCCGTCGCCAGTGATCACCATGGAAACTGGAGACCTGTGTCACATTGCCCGTACCGTGTCCAAAGGGCACATCAGCTGCCGGTAGCCACTTTACCCAGTGCCACACCGGGCGATTTTGGCCGGGTGTCAGGCCCAGTGCGTAACTGCCTTTGCCGAGCTCATTGGTATGCACCCAGACGAGCGGCTACTCCCCCCGCTCCCCGCCTCCTCCGTCATAAGCAGTATTCTATTTGTGTGCTTTCAAGTAGAAAATTAATATGGCCATTGGCCAAGAATCGTACAAGGCTGAGAGATCGCACAATGAGGGTGAGAAATGAGGAAAATGTCTGAATGGTTGATGACAGAAGTCACTGGAGTCAGGCGCCCAGGGCTGTTTTACTTCAGCCTATTAAAAAGGCAGCGAGGAGCGGGAGCTCGAGCTCGGAGACAGAGCGCCCCAGGAGATGGGCCCGCTGTGTGATGCTTGGCACTGCCAGGGACCGACGTCACGGAGCCCGCGACAGCCAGGGGCTGGATGGCAGTCTCGGGCGTGCCAGCCCGAACGGGCTGGTGAGGTTCAGCTGCGAATGGCTGATGCCCCCGGGCCCCATGAACCTCACAGTGCCAGTTAGCACCTGTGCCTCAGCTTCAGGTGAGGGTGGTTTCAGTCTCTGCATTATAATGTAGTTGGGGGGGCACATTTGTGGCGGATAACGGGGTCCTGGTCCTTGCCCAGCTGCCCGAAGAGCTCGCCCTGTCCTCCGTGGGGCTCCTGGGGCTCGTCCAGCGGCAGGCGCCTGCCGCCAGGTGCCGGGTGATAACAGGCTTCGGGAGGGGAAGGTGATTCTTCCTGCAGCCCTCTCTCAGCCACTCGTCCTGCAGTAAGTCACCCCAGCTAAGTGCGCGCCGCCTGGGTCCGGATGTGCCAGGTTCTTCCTTTTTGCGTCTAGAGGAGATCACATGGAGCCGTTTGGTGCAGGTTTTGTTACTGTTCTTGAAGTCCTTTTAAAGATAACACAGGATGGCTTTATTATAGGAACATTCGTTTCAGCATCATCCGTCAGACTAGTGCGGCTGACCTGGGATGCAGTTTTGCTAGGGAACAGGTGCGTTTGGCTGCCTGGTTCCCGCAAGCCTGCAGTGCTTCACGACTCCGGTTGGTGTTTGTGGACAGGCCAGGCCCTGGCAAGAAGTGCTCACAGCCCAGCACTAGACCCTCCCGGAGCATCATGTGTCCACGTCACCTGGTGCCCGTGTTCCAGATAGCCCCAGAGAAGCTGTGGGCGAATGTCCACTGTTAAGCCCTTGTGGGCAGCGGAAGCTGGGGTGCTGTGTCCTAGCAGCAGTGGGGGTGCCCACTGGTGGCGGCCTGTCGGCCCTGAGGAACAGCATGGGCAGGGCTGTTGAGTCCCCTTGTGTCCCAAAAAGGTGAGCATGCAGGTGTGGGGAGCCCACGGGTGGCCACTTGCTCACACTTGGGGTGCCCCCACCCACTGTAACATTCCATGACTGGGGACTCTGCTCCGTCAGGCTCTGTCAGGAGAAAAATGTAAATGCGTAAGGAAGACCCACCTGCACTCCCCACCATGACACCCCAGGTAGCTTCTGCCCGCACCTCTGTCTCTGTCCTGCTTTCGGCTAGCATGTTGTCATCGTGGCGTGGATTAGGCTGTGGGGAGCAGGGGGATCTTGCACCTCCCGAGACTCTCTGAATCTTGCAAGGTGGTGGAGAGTAATGTGTGCTAGTTTGGCGCTGCCTGGGTGCGGGCTTACTGTGGTGTGGGAAGCGCGCCTGGCAGGGGGCATGGCAGCGCTGGGGTTCCTGGGTCTGCTCCTGCTCCGAACAAGAGCATCCGCCCTTCTTTCCATGAGGAGGGAGTCTCCAGGCTCCCGGGGTCCTCAAGAGACACCTGACCAGTTCAACTGTTCTTGGTTAGTAATTCCGTATTCTTTGTCTAGTTGGAATCACTAAACCCAGGTTTTATTTGCTTTCCGTATGCACAGAGAGTGATTTCCCCACTTAAACAAGCTTAATTTTACCTCCTTTTAAGTTTTAAGCGTGTACAAATGGCAAGTCTACAAATGCTGACCGTGACCTGTCTGGCAGGGCTGTGAATCCCTCCTCGGGCCAGGGGCCCCGCCCGCCCGCCCGCCGCACCCCAGCCCCTCCCCCACTCCGGCCGCCTTAGCCTGCTGATTTCCTCCAGGTTTTCCTTTATTTTCCCATGACTGACTGGCAGCCTCAACTGGGAGCTTCAGTTTTGCTGTTGTTCATCTTAGGTAAGTGGAGTAACGTCAGCGCGTGCTCTCTTCTGGCGGCGTCTGTGTGCCGTGTGAGGTTGCGTCCCTGTGCTGGGCTCCTTTACACTGACGTGTGTGACTCTCGCCGAGTGTTACGGTGGCTTCTGGCTTGAGCTTGGCGCCCCAGGGCGCCCGCCTCCGTGGGGTAGATGCGTGCCCTTCACGCGCGCCCCGCCTGGGTCTGAGCCGCTCTGCCTCCCACGGGAACGTGAGCGTCGCGGTCCAGTGCGAGGAGTGTGCACTGTGTCTCCCGCCTCGCGTCTCTCCCGACGGCCAGAACCCAGTGCGCGGAGCTGTTGGCCTCTGGCCCCCTGAAGAGCGTGTGTGTGGCAGAGTCCTCAGGCTGTGACTACACGCCACGGCTCTCCCCGCTGCTGACCCTGCAGGCCGTCTGTGAGCAGTGACCTTTTGTGCCAGAAGAATCTGTTTGAGTAATTATGGAGCAGCAGTGGGCTGCAGCCGGGGGTGTGTGACTGTCCCTGCTTCTCTCTTGAGGGAAGTTTTCACTGGGTGCAGGATTCCGAGCCTGTCTGTGGCGAGCCTGGAAGCTGACCCGCCGCTGTGGCTCAGCGAGGTTCGGCCGCCAGGGTCTGTGAGGCAGGCGCTCCCTCGCCACCTGTAGGGTGGTTTTCACCTTAGTGTTCCCTGTGTGCCTGTGTTGCTTCTGGGAACGCTCTCCTGTGCTTGAGTTGCTTACGTTTCACTGGGCTTCTTCAGCCACTGAGTTGCTGCTTTGATTCTGGAGTAATTTTCAGGCTGCACCTCATGGTTGACTCTGTCCCACTCCTCTCCCGGAGGCCCCCTGCCCCTGTGCGCACTCCGACGCCCGATCCCGATCAGCCTGCGGTGTCCTGGCGCCGTCAGGCACAGCTGAGCCTAAATGCAGCTCGCTGCCGCGTGTCCTTGCGTTTGTTATTCCCGAGTGTTGTGAGGGGCCTCTGAGCTCAGTCCCTGCGCTTGGGAGGGGGTCAGGGAGCCGCCCCCACAGGTTCCTGCTGGTGGCCTCGGCTGTGTGGCCTGGACCTGCGTCACTAGGTTGGTGCGTGCCAGGCACTGCACACGGCTGGCGGCCCACGGCCTACCCTTGGCCCCAAAGTTGTTGCTTTTTTGCCCAGCTGGAGTTAGTCAGGCTCTGAGGCAGGTAGAATTCAGACTCTCTGCCTGCTCGCGACTTACTCTCTCTTAAAGGGAAAGTGCAGTGCCAGTGCTGCGTCACCGCGTGACTGCCTGTGGGAAGGCGGGTGGGGGCGTGGGCAGGCAGCCAGCCTCCCCGGGTTCACGCTCAGGGGCAGCTCCCTCCCTCCGTGTTTTCTAAAATGGAACAGCCCAAGATGTTTCGATTCTATTTTCATGTCTGATTAACCTTTTCAAGGTTCTGATTGTGCCCCTCACTTCTCTGAGAGCCTGGAGCAAACCATAGGTAGCTTTTCCTGTACCAGCGCTGGGGGAGGTGGGCCTCTGTTTCGGGTGAGTTCGTTTTCCCCTCAGTATTTAGAGAAGCAAAACTGCCTTAAACTCAGTGACCCAAGCGGTTGGGGGGGTGGCAGGGAGGGTCATGGGGGCTCAGAGAGCAGACATGTTTGTCCACGGAGAGCGGCTTGAGGACATTAGGAGCAAAAATGGATCCTAAGAAAGCTGTAGCCCCGTCGGGCCACTCATAGCAGTCCTTGGGGGCAGTAAGCGGGGTCCTGCACCCCACCCCCACCCCCTGAGGGCCGGCCCTCTGCCTGGGTGGAGGCAGCAGTGGCCTCACCTTGTCTTGAGCCAAAGCCCTGTGGCTGGAGCATCTCCTGGTCTTTCCACAACTAAGCTGTAAGTTCAGCTCCCCAGAAAAGGTGTATGCCCTAGGGCAGGCAGGACTGCGCCCAGCCGGGACCTCCGCTGTCACTCTGGGTGCCCAGGGCAGTCCTCCTCCTTCCTCGGAGCTGGTCAAGGTAACGATACTTGGTCTAATTTAAAGGCCCCTGTGACACAGGGAAACATGTCATGGCTGGTCATTAGGAGGACCCAACAAAGCAGGCCTTTGGACTGCTCGCCCCCGGCAGCATCACGGTGGTCAGCTGGCACGGCCCTTCCTGTGGCCCACTGCCCACTTAGGGGCAGCGGCAGCATCTGCTGAGAGCCGGCAGCCCAGGAGGCTGCCTAACGTCAGCTGGCGGCCGGCAAGAGGAAAGGGGCTGTGAGAGGCCGCGTGCTCACCCAGCTCAGGTGAGCGGGTTCCGAACACGCGTGCTCCTGCGGCTGCCCTGAGCCCCGAAGCTGAAGCGGTTGGAGTCCAGGCTGACAGGAGTCAGTCCGTGTCCACAACACAGAACTTCCCTCTGCCACTCAGCGCTGTGAGCCAGGAGGGAGCTCACAACTCTGCCTGCCTTAAAAAGGCTCATGGCGGGCCTGGGCCTGGCTCTCGGCTGCGGTTCGCACTTCCTGAGTCCACTCCGTCACCCCGGGTGCTCGGGAAAGGGGGGTGAGCGAAGGGGTGCAGGTGCACGGTGCAGCCGCACCCACAGCGCCCACCGCAGGAGGCCAGATCCTGCGGGACTCTGGCTGTACGAGGCTCCAGGCGCAGCCCCGTTTTCAGGGACACGGTGGGGGGTGAGGGGGTGTTGGCGGAGGCCCGAGGCAGGAGGGGAGTCGGAAGCCGGGGGGAGCCTCATCGCTCAGCGGCAGAGCCGCTTCCGGGTGGCGCTTCCGCGGTTTGGCAGCCTCGCTCCGCAGGGCCCGGCTGGCCGCCACCTCTAGTGCAGCCTCGGCCTGTTCCCCTTTCCAGGACCACATCTAAGAGGGGACCCCCCACCCCCCGTCACGTGTGCCGCCGAGCCGGGCTTCCGCGTCCCCTGCAGCCTTGGCCCGGCCCGGCGTCCCTCGGCGGCTGTGGCGGCCTTTAGACGTTGCCTTAAAAACACCAGACCCAGGCCCGTCTCCACACGCACCGCCGACCTCGCTGGAGCTTTGGCCGCGCTCTGCGGCTGCAGGCGGCTGCTTCTCTCCCGCTGGGCACGGTGGGGAGGGCTCGGGGTGGGTTTTGCGCCAAGGTCTTTGCTACAGACATTTCCACAGTGCCATTGGCATAAGTTTGCTGGAAAGATAAACCAGGTCACAGCTGCCGGAACAGCACGAAGCAGGCAGCACCCAGGAGCGGGGTGGGGGTGGGGGGTACGCAGAGGCGGCGCGGCGCCCCGTGCTGGTGACTGCGTTCAGAGACAAACCAGATTGCCAGCCAGTTATTGTCTCTTTTGTGGCAAAAAGAAATGCTCATGGCAAAGTCCTTGGAGCAAATGTCGCAGCCCGACTGTGAGAGCATTTGCCGCTGCCGGAGGTGCCGGCCCGCGTGCGCCGAGCACAGCAGCGACTCCTGGGGACGGCGGGGCCAGACCCCGCGTTCAGGAGCAGGCGCCCCCGATGGCACCACAGCGCAGCTGTCGCCCCCACTGAAGCAGCTTCAGTTCTGTTTTCTTAAAACGTGAAAATTTCCCAAGTGGGTAAGAAGTAAAACGAGGTGAGATCTTATTCCTAAGCTGTAAATGTTTGCGCCAAGGAACCGGGCAAGCCCTGAGCAAGCCCACGGTTGTCTGACTCACGCCAAAACTTCTGCCTCTCACCTGTGCATTTGTAACTGTCTCCTGAGCGTGAAATCACCCGCGTAGGAACAGTAAAGCCCGAGATGGGCCGCAGCCCCCCCACCCCCGGGCTGCCGGCGTGGGGCGTCCAGGTGCTGAGGGCCTGGCGTTGCCCTGGGGCGCGAAAGCTGTGCCTGGCGCATCTCTTACTCTCTGCTGCTTCACAGGGGTCGGCACCAGGAACTACTACAGAAAGATGGGCTACCGGCTGCAGGGCCCGTACATGGTCAAGACGCTGAAGTAGCGGCCGCCCGGCCCGGTCCCTGGCCGAAGAGACGGGCTCCCGTGTGCCGCAGAGGCTGCGCCCACCCCACTGCCCGCCGAGTCGGGGCGGCTCCCACATTCCGCACGAGGCCTGCAGGTGACCGCTTGGACCTGGACACGGTGACAGGCCCAGTTCATCAGCCCGCGTGGACACCGTCACTCACAGCTGTTGCCGTTGGGGGCATGCACTTGGGAGAAGATCCACAGGCCGTGGGGACCCTGCTGTGACCGCACGTGCCTCCCGGCGCACGTTACAGAGACGCGCCCCTCTGGTCACTGCTGACGACGGAAGGGGGGGGCAGTTAGGGCCCACGCACCACACTGGCCACAGCACACCCTCGTTCCCCTCTGATTCCCACCCCGGACAATCAGATTGGCGTGGGCAGCGCCAGGCAGAGCTTGAGTCAGCGTTTGCTGCCAGCCCCTCCCCGCCTGTCCCCCTGGAGAAAGGTAAGACAAGCCGCTCGCGAAAACAAAGGCCGTGGACAGAGCTAGGCGCGAGAGCAGATTGCCTGCTCAGAGGCCCGCCGCGTAGCCAGCTGCCCGGCGAGCTCGGAGGCGTGACCCGTCAGTGCCGCGCGTTCCGCCAGGCTTGTGGAATAAAGTCTCCAGCACACAAACCAGCCCACGTGAGGTGCTTTCCTGCCCGCTTCCGTTGCCGCCCGCGGGCTCTGGCTTGCGTGGGCTCGCAATGGCCCCCGCGGGCTTTCCAGGAGTGCACCGAGGGAGCGGCCCACAGCTGCTTTTCTCTGAAAATGACGCTGAAACTGAGCCTAAGCCCTGCGGGCTGTCGGCGCCCGGAGCTGAAGGGCGCAGAGAACGCGGGCGTCGCGCCCCCGCGGGGTCTGGGCCTGTCTTCTCCTGTCTCCACCCCCGTGGGTCAGAGTGCGTCAGGCGCACATGAGGCCCTGGTGAGCGCGAGGCGGCAACCCCAGGTAGCGGCTGCTGGGAGGGGCCTGCAGCAGCCTGCCCAGCCCGGGCTCGCCACTGCTCGTCCCCTCCACTCGGCTCGGAACACGCGCTGGCTCAGCCTGCTTGGCTGTGGCTCCCTCCACCGTGTCCCGGGGTCCCCCACCCAGTCCTGAAGCTGAACGAGGGTCTCCCCCAGTAAGCAGAGGAGGGTCCGGGGCTTCATCCTGACCTAGTCACAGATGGGGTCCAGCCCACGTTCCCTGTGGCTCTCTCCACTTGACCAGGACACAGCTGGCAGGTGTGGCACACCACCGTCAGCACCCCCCCTGGGGGGAAGCCCGTCAGCACCCCTGCAGCCGCAGGTAGTGGGGGTGAGCAGTCCAGCACGAGGGTGCTTTGAGCATTTCACTTCAGGGCCTAAGAACCATGAGCTCGTCCTCACAAGCTCAGCTGAAACAGGTCAGCGCCGGTGAGCCCTCCCCGCACACGCAGGCAGGTCCACCTGGACCCGGCAGGTCCTGCTGCCTCGTGGCCTTTCCACGCCCAGGAGAACGGCAGCGTCTGCCCAGGGCGGCACACGGCGCCTCCATCCCGCCACCACGTCGCGTCCGCGGTCAGCAGGCCTCCCGTGGCTGGCGCTCTGCTGCCCCGGCGTCCCAGCAGCCGTGGACACGACAGCCGAAGCCCTATGCGGCAGGGCGCGCACTGGCCGACTCCCTGAGACGCGCCCAAGACGTTTTTGCCACAAGCACTCCGTCCCCACGGCCAGCAGTCTCCTCGCCCACTCCGGGGTGAGGGAGGGACAGCGCGTGCTCGGGCCCCTCCGCCCTGGAGGACAGCGCGTTCCCCGGCCCGGTCAGCGCCAGGCGCAGCCCGCTCGGGCACCGGCGGTTTGGCAGCCTCGCTCCGCAGGGCCCGGCTGGCCGCCACCTCTAGTGCAGCCTCGGCCTGTTCCCCTTTCCAGGACCACATCTAAGAGGGGACCCCCCACCCCCCGTCACGTGTGCCGCCGAGCCGGGCTTCCGCGTCCCCTGCAGCCTTGGCCCGGCCCGGCGTCCCTCGGCGGCTGTGGCGGCCTTTAGACGTTGCCTTAAAAACACCAGACCCAGGCCCGTCTCCACACGCACCGCCGACCTCGCTGGAGCTTTGGCCGCGCTCTGCGGCTGCAGGCGGCTGCTTCTCTCCCGCTGGGCACGGTGGGGAGGGCTCGGGGTGGGTTTTGCGCCAAGGTCTTTGCTACAGACATTTCCACAGTGCCATTGGCATAAGTTTGCTGGAAAGATAAACCAGGTCACAGCTGCCGGAACAGCACGAAGCAGGCAGCACCCAGGAGCGGGGTGGGGGTGGGGGGTACGCAGAGGCGGCGCGGCGCCC